TTTTTGAAATACGCTTTGATGATGCAATGTACCCTCACCGCTCTCACTTGGCAAGCAGTACTTTTTAATGAAGTATTGGTGAGGGCTTGTCTGTGTGTCTGTTCATGTGTCTGTACGTGCGCATCTCTTTCTCTCTCTCTCTGTTTGGATGTAAATCAAGTTGAGTTGATGGTTCCTTTGATTCATTGTTGCAGATTTGCGCGCAAAGCAATCTTTTATATATCCCTTGCACAATAAAGTTTCACAGTCATAGCTAAAGTAGCAAACCCAGGCAGTTCAGTAGTAGTTGTAAACTAAGGTATTTAATTCTCCGTTTCTACCTCTTCCTTAGCGTCCATAAAAAGTTTGACGATGCAGAATGAGGGATAAATCAGGTGGATTACCGGGACTGGCGGGCCCGCTGTGCCGGCCATGCCGTGATTTCCCCGCCTGTTATCTCTGCCAAGATGGAGTTTTATGAACCTCTCCATAAATCCGTATCTCCATTCGATTGCCTGCCATTCTCTGCTCCCGCACTTTTTAGCCTGTTTTTTTCCTCTCCATATATGGAAGACGTGAGATGAAACAGACCGCCGGCGCGCACTTGAAAGCGCTGGCGTCCATTTCCGGCTAGTGTGGGACGATAAAGATTTTGTCCAGGACAGAGAAATAGTGTCCTCTTCTTATCTTAGAGACAAACTGTGTACTTCACGATGATACATTTGCTGCATTCATACGTTCAAACTAAGTATCTAACTTTATCATAAACTGCAAAGAATGACTGATACATGTGTTTTGAGATTTTAAGACGATCAGCGAAATAGGACCATTTTATATGCATGACAAACTGTACACTTAATGCGAAATGTTCGGTGCATCAATAACTAACAAATGTATCACGGGATCAGGACCTAACCGAGAATGGTAGTGCAGGGATGGGCAGAAAATTGTAGTTATAACTATCTTCGTAGTAACGAGGTTCAAAAGTGTAAAGCTCAGCAGAAAATATCTTAGCATTCAAAGTTTAACTTTCTGCAGCTATGTGCGAAATATTATTAAGATTTAACCAATATAGTATACAGCAAAAGTGGCCGTTACTCCATACATGCCCACAACAGAAAGTCTTTGTGAAGTAGATGAGATGTATAGTCGCCACCAAATCGCCTCCTCCGAGTGCCATAGCCACAGACACCAGCAGGAGATAACACTGCTTTATACGGCAGTTCTGGTCCCGACGATGAACACTTTTACCCTCTTTTATTTCCGAACGACCTCGTAAAGCGAAGGCCCAAATGTCATTGATGAATACAAAATGATGCGCAAGAGCAGTGATGTATGGCCATCATTCCTCCATCCAACATCTTCATCCTCTGCGCGGGAACAGATAATGGAGATAAGATCGAGGTTTGGGAAAATGGCGGGTCGTCTCTGCCGTTACGACAAGGCTGATGTCACCGGCGCATCGACCGTGGCTGGTTACTTACTCCATAGAGTCGCGGGAGTTCATCATGGCACCGTGCGGTCGCTACAAATCTCTCTCTCTCAAAAACTCAGCCGGGCTTTCACGTCACCCGTATGGTTTGGGAGTCATTCGTAACCGCAAATCCCTGGTGTCTATTCCCCTCTGAAATGTGATATCCACATCAGGCTATACAGCTATAGAAATACTTTGATTGAAATTTCCAACTGGCTAAAGCTCAGTTCCGACGTCGCTGATTTCCGCTAAACATTTTAACACTAATCTACCAATCGTATTCCTGCGAGCCGCTCTTTCAAATCCCCTCATTTCAAACGATATCCTTCTTCAATCCCCTCCAAAGCCATCCTAAATCTTTGTAGCCTACTTAAGCAGAGAACGAACAGAGGCGCTACTCATGTAGTACATGTAGCCCTAAAGCTTGCTTTGTACGGTGCATATTAGTATTTCTGCATGCTCCGAGCGTATGTGTAGATGTTTGATGTGTGAATGCCATGTATTAGTTGCGGCCCACGTGACGGTTCGCCCGGAGGGACCTTTGCTCTCCTTGTTGTGTGTATGATGAATGTGGAGAGGGACCGGTTCTGACACTAACTCTCCTCCACACATACCGGCCTATCGCCATCAAATACTCTCCCGGGCATGGGCCTGCCCCGCAAATATCGAGCGAAACTTTCGGCGCGAAAATAATGGATGCGAAGCGCGCTGCATTAGCGCTGGTAGCTGACGCCTTCCTGGCGCCATGGTGCTGATATACATGCCGATTTCTCGGAGCAATTTTGACATGATAATTACATTTCCTATGCCGCTAAATATGTTGAATAACACATCAGAGTTATGATTTTTAAATGATGATTTCTCACAATTGAGTCTAGGTGTTGATAAGGAAATTGTGTTCTTGTCTAAAGTCAGGTTTCAATTTTCTTATAAAGCTTGTTCTCATAGTTTTAGTGATGTGTTTTATTGAGACGTGTTTGTGTTTTGTGTTATGTTGTGTTGAATGTTGATATAACATGCCGTGTTCCAGTGTCTATCCCTTTGGTATTTCGGCCATTTATGCTACAGTAGCAATATAAAACATGATGAATGACTGTAGGGCGAAACTAGAATGGTCATAGTCATCTATCATGTCTAAAACAGGGTCATGCCATTGTGTTATCACCCCTTACAAAGGAGTGTTGTAGATAATTGGGGATCCATTTATGGTTCGGTGCTCAACACGCTCCATTTGCTGTATCTTGACAGCCACCTTCCAGCGTTAATAGTCAGTGTATAATGTCAATGCACGTTCGCGTGCGCCTTTTCGTCAGGGAGTTACAGAACTCAACCGACCCACTTATTACTCAAAACACCGGCATTTCATTCTCCATTGCCTTCAAGGAGGAAGTCAAGAAGTGATTTAATTTGAAAGTTGCAACGCACAATAACCGATATTATATTTTAACAGTTGTACTTGTTTTCCTGTTTGCGCATTTTACAGGCAATATTTTTATGAACCTTTCGTAATTCATGCATGAGCTCAAATCGACCTGCAGCCCACTTTTCATTGAGGTCATGACGGAGGAGGTAAGATGATCAGAGAAAATATAACGTTAAAACAAGGCATACAGTTACAGAATTAAATAACAGGTTCTAATGAAATGAGTGCACATGTTGTACAATGTTTCACATGGTGGCTAGAAATGATGCAACGTACCAAAATCTAAATTACACATGTTTATTAAGGGTGACTAGTTGACTAAAGGGAATACTATTCACACTAACGGGAAGAGAACTTAGGTTTGTGAGGATGACCGCGTACAAAATTTAAAAAATCATGCCGAAACGTACAAAACTCATAAGAGAAAGCGAAAAAAGAGAACGATTTATTCTACACATCGCGACATGTGAACCATAAACCTGTTTCCACTGTTTCCGCGCACCAGCAGCATACTTTATGGCATCAGTAATCAGAGTGTGAGGCAATAATTGTTCTCCTTTTACAGACAATGAAGTCAGGTGTCAATACACGTCCCTATTAGTACGCCTGGTGATTTGCCATGGTCCCGGAAACGCGGCGTGTGGCCCAATTTGCCACTGATTTACGTTTGATGCACAAACCTAAACAGATTGCTCAAGTCACTTGTACGTCATATAATCTGTGTCCTGGGATTCTCATTGAGGCTGTTACAGAAGACACGATAGCTGAATTTTGTACAAAACGCCCACGACTGTCCCAAGAATGCCCTCTGTCGTAAAATTGTCTTCTGTGACATGAGCTTGTCATGTACGTGTGGAAATACAAGATATGGTGACTGTAGCTTGTACAACTTTAACATTCCCTGGACATGATAGGGTGTATTAGGGTCACACTTATACACCTTCATCCACCAATCACACACTAATGAGAACTTCTAACAGCTCCCTTTCTCTCAGGACGGACGGGGTCAGACTTAGACTGTCCTGAAGGACAGGACGGTCATTTGGTAGAACCTAGAAATGTTACTGTTTGTAAGATTGACAACAACCATCTTTCTAATGCTTATCTTACAACAACGTGGCATCTGTATATGAATACCATACATGTATGTACATGATCATTGTTAATATGCACGTTTCATTGTTGTGTTTCATGACAGTATGAACATTGCCATGTTTTGGAAATATGTGACAATGTAGTGTATTGAATTCAGAAGAATAAATGTATTCATGCACATCAACATAAGATGTACGAGTAAAGTCTCAATCATAAAATTTAACTTTCAATGTATTCCTAAGCACCAGCGTATGGAAATTCATGATCATAAATAGCCTGCTTATTTTAGCTTTATTCTTTACATCTAGTTGTCGGCAGTTTTGGACAGACGACAGTGTCCAACAGTGCGATTGGTCTGAAGGTGTCCCCGACAGTGGACGCCGTGGCCGGTCAGCCTATCACACTGAAGGCCACATACCAGAGTACCCGGTCTATCGTCTCTCTTATATGGAGCAAGGTAGGATCCGTTCATGTATGCAACAATAGATAATAAGAATGATATTCCCGGACCCCTTAGCCTAAGATACTTAATGAGCCTCTGTACTGTTCGCAAGTCCTCGAGCTTTGGAGCTGGCAACGTCAATACAGATTGTCTATCTAATGCTAATTTCACAATTTCATAATTTCCAATCCGGGCCCGACCGGGCAGTTAGCGGGAACGAACAGTGCCATATAAAAGACATGTACAACACCCAACAAAAAGTTTTTAAAATATATGATGAAAAAGACCACTATTTGTATATATTCTTGATATGATTTTTTTCGTTTACGCAAACAGTCCGGCCGGGCCCCGGTTTGGAAATAAGACCTTAGCATTACTTCACTGATAGGCCTCTACCGACTATGGGAGGATTATTCTAGTAAAAGATCTAGAACACACGAAGTAATGTTCAAAGTGACATTTCTGTGTGGTTGTTAGGTAAGCTGAACACGTTGCATGTTGAGAAGCTGATAAAGAAACCATCGCCCACATAATTACCGTGCTCTTCAGGAACGCCGAGACATCAGCTTGTCAAATACGCTATAAGCATGTGTCTGCCGGTAGCATGATAAGGAAAGTACATTTGTATTACCTATGTGACTGTTATGATCTTCACAAATAACTTGGATCAATCATTTCTTTCGCAACATAAGAGGATTATACTATTTATGACGGATGCACATTTTGTAACATTGTTACATATTCACTGAAGTAAACAAAAAAGCCTACATCTTGACATCCTAGAAAAATGTTTCAAATTATATAGTTTTCGGGTGCACTAGCTATAGAAATCACTTTTTTTCACTTGAGCATATCATCATTAGCCTGGGTGTCATCCTATTCGTAGCAAGTATTAGAGCCCAGGTATACGAATATGATGGCACCCAGCCTATACTTCATACCCAGCCTTACATCATATACTAATTTGAGTGAAAATAAGAACGCAGATCACATACTAGATCACAGAAGGGGAGACGTACGTTTGTGATAAAGCCTGACATGCTGTTTGTCAGATATACCTGTCATTTTCTGCTCGCTATCTTCTCTGCTGTCTTGTCACGAGGTATCTCATAGTTTGACATGCAAAGTTGCGGAATTTTTGATTGCGGGGGAATTGTCTGGTAATAGAGGTGACAGGTGTTGACGTCGGAGTAAAATTGCTTATATTCAAAGACTACACAATCAGAAAACTTAAAGAGAGTAGTGACATGTTCAGAATTGTAAATTGAGCACCCAGATTTTAAGACATTACGAGTTCTAGGATTTTATAAAACCATAATAAGCAACCAAGGCAAGAGATAGCCAGTTTTGAGATTTAACGATATCACAATTATTAGCTGTCATATACGTTAGCGATCAAACTACTCATATTACTCTGTCATTATTATAACAAAACGCCTTGTTGCAATGCCAACATTGCAGCAAAGATTCTATAGAAGAAGATCCTATAAAGTTATACATGTACATTCTGATGCTTTAACTAATTACTTAATCACTTTGTGTTATGCTATAGCCTAGCAGGTTTCAACATTTGGGGTAAAGTGGTCAGCTTCTGAATGAATCAAAGCTATGGACTTCGTCCGATTGCCTGTACTAATCATTGACAAGGAGGACAGTTGTGGATAGATGCTATATGATAATAAGCTGTGTTGTTGATGTTGTTCCGCAGGTTGAGGGAGACGTAGGCGGGAGACGAGCGCCGGTCTTCGTGCACTACCCCGGCTCGGAGTACTCGTACGGAGACCTGACGGGCCGGGCGGACAGGACCAACGGTGTCTCGCTCAGAATATCGCGGGTCAAGCCCAGCGACGAGGGCTACTACGTCGTTCAGCTGTTACTGGACGCAGTAGGGCAGGAGGAGAAGGAGGTTTACCTCAACGTCTTAGGTGAGTCGTTAAGTCTTAGTAAGAAGTTTTAGGTAAGTCGTAGTTTTAGGTAAGTAAATTTGTCAAAGATGAGCGCTCTGAACATATTCCGAGCAAGCTTGACTGCTCTAATTGGGCACTTCCGACACCTTGTCATATATTGACAGGTGTGTATGAATGGGCTGAATACTTCATTCATAGATTTCTGAGTAGAAGCTGTAATTTATTCCATGTTATGATTTGATTTATTGCAGCATATCTTAATTTGTTGCGCCTCTAACCGAAACGTACCCTCTTAGTACTCAAAAGAATGAGCGTTATTAAAACGTGGAGATGGCAGAAGTCAATATACAATTAGAGGATTAGTGAATTACGATCATCTCCAAATGTGCAGTCACCTAGAAACCCGGTGTTAGACGTGCCTCCAGGCGCGTGTTCAAATAAAAAAAGCTTCACAAATTATTTAACGGGCCTTTTGGTGGAGGTTTCAACTTGTTACTTCTCATAAATATATTACAAGTTTGCCAACTTTCCTCACGCGATGTGTGCGTAAATTTGACTGGTTCAGAAAAAAATGAGAAAATTCTGGAAAACCGTAGTTCACCAAGACCTCACTACTGTTAAGCACGTTGCGGGTTGAACCGGCGCAATGCTATGGTGTAATTTGTAGCAGTCAGGCCGGTGGATTAGAGCTCTAATGGCTGTTACAGCTGCTCGTTTGGAGCCATGTTCGTGTAGTAATCAATTCAGTCAAGGGCATGTCCCGCGGGAACCACGCCCTGCAGTATCGATCTGGTCACATCCTGGTAACGTCCTGGCTTTTAATGAAAACATTTCATTACAAGTCTCGACTATTTTCACAATGTGATGCGTTTTGTAGTCAAAGTATAAGTTAAACATCAGTCAATATATATGAAAATGTAAATTCTCTACATTTAATGTTGCTGTGTTGTGTTGTGTTGTGTCGGTTGCTGCCAGAGGCCATGGGTGATATTTAATCTAGCCGTCCTCGTGCTATATTAATAATTCATAGTTGAGCACCTGGCGTGCCCCACAATGTCAAAATGACGAAACACAGAAACATGGGCACAGGGCCAGCAAACCTGGAGAATACACGTCCGGACAGGAGCCGTTATTCTGGTCTTTCGTTTGCCTCTCTATTAAAAATCTGACAGCTGGTATAGATACCCAAGTTCAAATAACTCTTGATTTGATTACAAATACTCAATTCTATACGTTGCAATGAATGTGTGCTGTTTTGAAAGTGGCAGTTATAGTTTGGAATGATGATGTGAGAAAGCTCATTAATAGTTCATGTATCATCTACAGACTGAGGTCAAATGTTACAACCTTTACCCCTAGTCTCGACGACATTCCTGTACCAATTGCAGTTTGGTACGGTTTTCATAGTATAATAGACATACAATTTTCAACCGGACGACTATTGGGGCCGTAATATCAACATTGGCTGTCTCATTGCCGAAATTCACATTTCTGGTAGAGAGAATTAAAAAAAAAACACAGTGTGTATGTGACTCATCAACATATCACAAAAGATAATGTTTTTAAGTAATTTCAAAATTTATTCTAAAAGCATATCTACATGTGTAGACGTGAATGTGTTTTATATACTTTCAAAGGCATCGTTGGGGTTCATATCGTTTTGTGATTAAGTCATGTAATTGCGCAGCGCCGTCGCGGACTTAACTTTCTGTTCAATGGAATGATTCAAGTGAAACCGGCCCATTCCACCGGGAGCGTGAACAATCCCCGGCTTATCCAGCCCGGCTATAATTAATGTGGAATGCGTGACATTCCAACAAATGTAAGAATATGCCGCTGCTCACCGGGGATCTGCCTGTCTTATCAACATGCTGATGTATCGGTTACATAGCGTCATACTTTCACCGTGACAGCATCGCATGGATGATGGTAATGCTGATCTACAACATTTTATACTTGGTAATGTTGCCATCTAGATTGTCAGTCGGTGTATACAGACTCTATACTAGGCTTCATGGATGTCGTTTTGGTATTAACAGTTTTGCTGATTACGTATTGTTTCTGATTGCTACCGCGTTCTTTCCGATATCATTGACTTTCGCTGGAAACGTTACAAATTGGTTGCACCAAAAACACAGCAGCAATCAAAGAACAGTACGTGATCAGCAAAACCGGAAAAATCAACCCGCCAGCCATGGACTAGAGCCTGCATTGGAGGCTAGAGCAATGCTCCAAGAGGTCGTGTGCAATACGGAGTGATTTGAGCAAGAGCTAGACATGTGTGTCGGGTCGTGGCATGCAGTGCGCGCGCATTCCGGTGATAAATGGAGTGAGCGAATAAAACTTCACCCGCATTGTGATTGTCAGTAATGATCATCATCAGAATCCGGGGCAAACCTTCCCTACGACATACCTCTGCAAAGGTCTTCCGCTCACAACAAGCAATAAGGAAACCCCGGCCCCGGCGTAAGACCTTATGAATTTTTACGGTCCCCCGACAAAAATATGGGCCCCTGCTTCGCTTCAATTCGTATTGCCTACATAAAGACCATAATTCCGCGGAACGAAAACAAAATCGATACGATACAATGGGCACGTGGATCAATAGCTCGTTTGTATCAATATAGGCGTGGAGAAACATACAGCTGGATGTGTAGGTTGTTAAGCTATTGTGACATTATAGTCTCCAAATCTTCAAAATGATAACACGGATGATTGTGATTAATTATTTTAACTATTTAATGTCTTTTCGATTTGAAATATTATTCATTATGACTCACGACTTTTTTCCTGCATGTACCGAATGACACATTTTATCATGAAACATACGACAGAAAGTATTCATTTTGTCACGTTGAAAGTCTTTTGTTGACCACTGATTGAGATTGACATGTTAACGGGGTGACCTGGCCTACATCAGGGTACCTTGGTATTCAGTGTGTGCATGTCTGAGGCAAGGTGACTACAATGTCATACACTGTCCACATTCTATACTCCATTGACAACTTGGAGAGCACGTGCATTACATGTATTAGTATATCTCTATATGAGTCACTCGTAGATCTATTGACAACTATTTTGTTACACCAAAGCCTGCATCGTACTGTTTTCTACTTTCATTTCCTCAGTGTTTGATAATTGATGTTACAGATTCTAGGAAGATATTTAGACGTCGATAGCGTCCTTTACCCAGATAAAAACATAGAGACATAGAGATATTTTTCCAAACACAAGATGTATATACTGTATATAGCACCTGCCCTTCTCGTCATGATAATGACAATTTCAGTAAGTAATATTGGATCAATATACACATCTCCAGTATGTAATGCAAAGTTAAATGCCACTCTGAAGCAGACATTAGCCGATGTGAAGGGTTGCACCATGCATGGCAGTCCTCCCCGTGTAATATAAGTTATTAAGTGCCAAACTGGATCGAGATTTCCAATTCCATTCCCTCACCGCCCGCGTAACGCACGCGTCGTGTGTGATAACAGCGTTGGTCAGCCAAGTGTTAAAATCAATACAGACAGACTCAGCCTAAGTGGATCAAAGGAACACTACATCTTATCACGCCCGTTAGACGTCTAATGCATGTTTCAGCACTCAGCCCGGGCCGGATAGACATGTCGCAGAACCAGAGTTTCATGTCTAGTCGTCATGACGTATCTCTCTGTCTCTCTCTGTCAGTCAGTCTCATGAAGTATCAAGACTCCAAATTATAAAATATACTCCACCGTGTACATGACAGTAAAAGTAGTCCAGGGACAATCAATAATTGTACACTTCGGAACAGTTTTGGGACAACAGTACAAATCCAAATCAATTGGTAGATTATGCATCTATTTCAAATAACGTTTCATCTCTCTAGAATCACTTTAATAAAATTAATTCTCATGTTCCAAGTGGCATCATGATGTAACTACAATACAGTATGTCCAGTTAGCAATGGCTTGGTCAGTCCATGCTTAATTTTGTAGAATTAAAATATAGACATGTGGAAGGTTCTTTTCAATAGAGGCATGGGGCATTATATTACAGATGACGGGATTTTTATTCTAGAATTAATTTAAGGGTGCATTTCCCAGAAATCCCAGTCTTGCACCTCGCTACGTGTGCCACGTGACCGCGCAGACCCGAATTAGGTAAAGCACGGATCAATAACATGGAGATGTGGCTAAAACTTCCGCCGGGATTCAACAGTCTGGGATCATGTCAAAACATGTGGACTTTTCTATCCTGAAATCCAGTCTGGGGATCATGTCAAAAAACGTTCATACAAGATAAAACTAAATGGACACAAAATACGCCTCTCCCCTCTTCAACAAGTCTATGGAGGTTAATATCATTTGTAAATACAAATACAGAGAATATAATAACGCCAAGTTGCTGTACACAGCACCTGTTCCTGTATTATTCTTTAATGCTCAAACAACCGAAGGCGCGGGCTTGGACCAATATCAGGCAAATGGACGCAAAATACTCATCTTCCCTATTCAACAAGTCTATGTTGAAGGTTGCTAGCATTTGTAAAATACATAGAGAACATAATAACGCGAGGCTGCTGTACACAACACCAATTCCTGTATTATCATCCAGTACCCTAACACCCAAGAGGCGCGGGCTTGGACCAAAACCATCCACCACCGCACTTTTTCTCGTTAGCGGTGCTGTTTGCCCGTGCAGGACACATAAAAGCCATATGCCAGCTCGCATCACATTCCTCCGCTGACAGCTATTGATTTTGCGACAGTCGTAAGTGGGCACGGGTCACGCGGGACGTCGTGATATTTCCATTTACCGCCAGGAATCGACCGTTAGACGTGCAAATAACGGTCACCCGCCGCGCCGCGCGATCATCCTGGCCGTCCTTTAGTGCGGGGTACGCCAGTCTCTACCAGACTAACTACTCGTACGCTGGCTATATACAGGTGAATATTTGCCAGGGGAGTTTGGCTAGCCTCTACCAGGCTCCGCGGATTGCTGGAAAAATAGTAGAAATTGGTCGAAATAAAGGGATAGTATACCAGAAAAGATCCGGCCAGAGTGAAGATCCAATTCGCGACCCACTCTGACCGGATCCACTCTGGTATACCATCCCTTTATTTTGGCCAATTTCTACTATTTTTCCATCGATCCGCAGTGCCTGGTAGAGGCTAGAGTTTGTCCACCTTGGGGTTTGACTGGCCGCGCAGTTAGGAGGGAAAGAACCAACTTTCCATGGCTGGACTCTCCTGGTCAATTTTACTCTCCCTTTTTTTGCCGAGTTCTACGATCCGTATTCCCGTAGAAAGGCCTGGTGGAGGCTAGGGGTACACGGTGTAAGGGGGGGGGGGGTAGTAGAATCGATCTGTTTGCTCGCTGCTGTCGGAACGCGTTCTGCCACGCCTGGCCTGAGCGCTGATCTGTGCACCTATCGGGTCGGAAATAGAAATGGTTGTTTATTGAGGGCACTACTGGTGGACACCGCGCAAATGGCTTTAATTACCACCGATGCGCAAGCGCTTTAATTTGCGGGCAACACCGTGCATACCGTCAGAGTCTTTGAGTAAAGGTAGATGAGAGATTTGAGGCGTGTCGCCAAAATACTAAGATAATGGTTCATACGTCCTGTCGGTTAAACCTTGTTCCCACACAATTAAAAACATGGAAGCAATAGAAGCGATTTCTTGGGGTCGTTCGTTCTGCAGCCTTCATCAGTTTCGAATGACCAATCACATAGGTCACGTGATCTTCCGGGCACTTGGCCTCAACGACATATGAGGTCAAAGGTGCCAAATACTATAAATACACTTAATTATTGATCACTTGGCAATAAAAATACTGCTTTCGATGTCAGTTCTGAAGCATTGATATCGTTGTTTAGGATAAACACAAAAAGTGCTACCCAAATAAAATAGTGCCAACATTAATACGCTGCTGCCATTCTTTCGACAATCTGGTGTATGTGCATGCCAGTCTCTCTCCTTGTCTCGAACCATTGATACGGAGGACAAATACGTTGATAACGTAATTAATGTTGCAAACACTGTAATTGAAATATTGAAAAAAAAACCTAGACCATATCAATTTCATATCATAATGATATTGGAGATGTAGCAGGTCGTGCCAATTTTCTTTCATTATTTTCAACAAAGTCCCCTCAATATGAGATCAATGTTTTTCAATTGCTATGTACCACCAGGTTATTTGCTTGAATAATTTCATGAATAGAAATAGAGTTGGGGTCAACCCACTTAACGAGAGGTCAGAGTAACAGAACTGCGAATCGAAGGAAATTACAGTTCTGTAATCCTGAGAATAAACGGTTACAGTTTCTTATATGTCTGCCTCAGACGATACAGCCACACGCCGCATTTTAACCAGGTCTATGAATTAAACGTTTATTTGCAATCAAACATTCCGAGGACGTATCCGTGCTGATATATTGCTATCATCTACATTCAAATATCATTTCATCGGTTACATCATGTTGTGTCTCGTCTGTGAAATGCAAACGAAATTAAGGTGTCACTACTAGTACTCACAGGGGAATGTGCACACTGTCATTAAATTGTTTCTTCCTTCTTTTCTTCCTCCATCCAGAGCCCCCGAAAGTGTACGTCGGGCCGGGCAGCCCGTATGTGGTCCGGTGGGGGAAGAACATCACCCTGTCCTGCAGGGTCAAGGCCAAGCCCGAGATCACCAACCTGTACTGGGAGAAGGACGGCCTTCCTGTGCGGTCCTTCCCGCGGAGCAAAAAGTACAGGTAGGTCAGAAAAGGTGTTCCCGGTGCTCGCAAAGAGACAGACCGTAGACGTGAACTGGGTTATTTTAGGAGGGGAATAAATCTATAGCTACATTATAGCCTACCTACATTATAGCCTGAATGCCAGACCCATAGCACACTGCAGGCTATTACTTTGGGCCCAGTGTGCTTATGGGTCTGGCATCCAGGCTACTACATTAAGGCACACCAGCCATTACCCAGTTGGGGGGCGGTATAAACTTCCTGGCACCAATCACTGACATCACGTGTCCCTAAGGTCACGTGATTGATATTGGTCATTCTCATATGCTGATGGCCGGATAGCCAAACATTCTGTGTGGCAATGTAAGAATGCAGCTTATATGTTTATTTTAAAAGATAATAGTATTTGATTTTTTTCTCTGTACAGAGGAGGGAACATGAGAAACCCGAACCTACACGTCATCAACGTCGGCAAGGCAGACGCCGGCAAGTACGGCTGCGTCATAGATCACGTGGTCGAAAGTACGAGGGCCACCCTTGACCTGGAAGTGCTCTGTAAGTACCCACAATGCCTACCTATATCAAATATGTATTAATTAATCTAAAATACTCAGTGGGTCATAGAATAAAATTCAAGTAGATTATCGATGTTGCTGTTCCACTTCTGATAACAAAATTAACAGTGTGATTTACTAAAGAAAATTGGAGAAACCAGTAACGTTCACATGCTTGCATTGGTATCTAAACATGATTAGTTTTCCCTTTGTGCCATACTGATTCTTGGAACAATGTATTGCAAAAACTAAACGCCCCATTTGATTAGGCTTTAATCAACGTGCTAATACATCAACTCATGAAATCCTTATTTTAAAGAAAAAAAAAGAAAAAGACAAGTAGTTTCAAAATGGCCACCAAGATATAAGGCAACACCATAGACAACAGAGTGTAAGAAAACACTTCATATTTGCTAGCATATGTCTTTTGTTTCGTCTCGTTTTGCTGTCTGCATGCACAAAGCTCGCATTTGTTTCTAGATTTGATAGCTGCCAGTATAAAGCTCGCAGCACATATCCTAATAAAGCATCCCTGCTTTAAACCCGTGATGGATCGCCGGGATGCTTTGAACAGATGGCACGCCATCCATTATAGCATGTTCCCTTAAGCCTCGCACAGGTGTCATTTTGCAAGCAGCACTTTAAAAAACGATCACTCAATCTTTATCTTGCTGGAAACCGGTCGGAGAACATCGGTCAACTGTACAGACATGGATATTCCCGACACGTAGAAATCACAGTACGTGTAAATTTACTGTAAATTACAGTAAGTTACAGTAAAAACACTGTACGTTGAAATAAAGCAAAAGGCTGCATTCTCAAAGTTGCAACATTACAGTCTTAACATGTACGTGTAGGCGAAGGGACGATTTTTATTTGATCCAAGCTCATTTTGTAAGCAGCACTTTAAAAACGATAACATCGCTCAACTGTACACGAACATATTCGCGGCACGTGCAAATGAAGCAAAGAGAAATGTTCTAATATACGGTTGAGTTTTATAGTCGTACCTGCAATACTGAGATTTCAGTCAGGGCGGGGTGAACGCGCGTACTGAACATGTTTTATTCGATTTAAGCACTGAGAAGGTCGGCCCTGTACCAGGATCATTTTCCGCTCCCACCGACCGCTTATTGAACTCAATTTCTGATCCGTCCTGTTGCATGTGGCATTAGCATTCTGCCATTACCTCGTCCGTGTGCTAGGACGTATGTCGGTCAAGTACGCGAGCCTATTACCTGCTTGGCTAGCTTTCCGTGAAATTTTAAACTGTGATTGTTTCCCTGGCCTCCCTCGCTTCCTTTCTCTATAAGTTTTAATCTTGTGTTCAATTGTCAGTCTTCTTTTTTTTTTCATGATAGACTCATTCGATTTTAATAATATTTTTTTACGTGTTTAATCATTTTTTGTGTGGAGCCGATATTATTTAAGAATGCCTCCTCATATTGACTTAATATTTCCACGACACCATTATCCCAAAAACGTGCCTGAAGAACGAGTTTTATTGAAAGTTGATTTGTCCGAAAGGTGTGGCAGTGTCGGTGGACATGAGACGAGGCAATCCTACACTTGACTGGTGCAGTGATGGGGACCACAGAAGGTTCCAGCTACGACAGACGGGATATTAAAGCCTCTATGGGCAATAACATGCCGGGGATATTTGCACGGGAATATGCTGTTATCTGCCAGAAATGGTTGACCTTCAATTCACATGAGAAAATAAAGACAACAGATCGGGAAAGCTAATGTCTGTCAGTATCCTTCAGTCTACCGTTGTCTGGAGTGCAATACATAACGATAGCTTCGATTTGGGACAGATCCGATATTGTATCCTCTCAAGGCAGAATGAGGAAAATGTCGACAGAGAATTATGTGAATTCGAATTCTGGTCCATCTCATAAACCAGCAAAACCTACCAGCGGTACCCCATACGGATTTGGGACAGACGGGATATCAAAACCGTAAACCCTTCCAATTCAATTCAATTCAATGCAGAGCAATGACACGAAATTAAGCAATGCATAGACGGGAATATAACGTGTTTTCAATCGCACTCTGGTCTTTCGTATATTCCTTGAAACCTACCGGATAGTCATTAGACTAGAGAATACGACAATATTGAAGCTTATTGTAACACATACAACTATTGTTTCTTGTTCCACTTTCCAGATGTGCCAAATCAGACTTTTGGGCAGACGGAATTCCAGAGCCTCTCAGGCAAAACCGCGTCAGGAATATATGGATGGAAATATAATGCACTTGCCAGCAAATCCTGGCTTTTTTATTCCCCCCAGGCCAACAGATTGCGTGTATCATGATACAAACAGATATTAAAATGGAAAAGAGTAACCACTACTATGCAGCTTCGAATTCACCACGTTACAAAAACGTCGCGATATTTTCACTCCAACATCTACTTGAGGACTAATAGAGTGGCATTAACACCAATATGTTGGCGTGTCACAAGTGTCACAAATGTTGTTTTTTTTCAAATTCATAGCAGTCTTACCCCCTGTAAGTTTAACACAAATTCTTGAATAAAATTACTGAATAGGGAATCTTGATGTAAATAAAATCCAGGTTCAGTAAGATGTTTCCAAGCGCGTATTCCTCATTAAAAGCAGGTGTAGGCGCCACACTGAGGAGGCCTTACATCGATCCCCTGCAGGAGACACAGCTGTATACTTGCTGTGTGACTGATGCTGGCTCAGTAATTAAAACTGGCGGCCAGGCCACACCAATTCATTTCCTTGGTGTTTGGACATTTTGAGTTAAGAATGAAGCAAGAGCCTCCAGATAAATACAGAGGACTTGAATCTGACTATATATTCAATCTCTGAAACTGTGTGCACCAAAGTATAGACTGTCTCTGACTCTCTGTTTACATGTTGATTTTCCTATTCAGCATGTGTTGTTGCTGTAGGCCTTTCCCATGCCTAGTGGTACATAAGACAGCAAAATTCTTTACCGGTCTGTAGCATGATTTTGACATCATACAGCTTATATCTGTTTGTAGAGAAGAGATACTAGCCCTTCACTCAAACCATGTGCAGTTCGACTGTATACTGGGTTCAAGATGGATACTACTATTTGGCCGGATATACTAGTGCCTACTGTACTTTCTTTTATTCGAGAACCTACAAATGTACTTGGTGTGGCCTGCGGGTGTTTCACAATGCAGGAGCGTGTACTGTTGTTCCGCCGCACGATGAGTGATGACTGTACGCCAGAGTCAAGGATGCGGGCCCCATAATAGAGTTATATTACACATATCACACACTGGGAGCTGATATTACCCTCCAAGAGCGGTGCACATGGGTATTAATAAGGGAAGAGATCAAATCCCGTTCTGGTAGACATCAATAATAAAAGTTTGATATATATGTATACGTATTATCAAAATTGTAATAAAGTTTGACAATTACATACATCTACATATTCCATCTTTTATATCTTTTGTGCAGTTTTTGTTGACTATCGTTAACAAACGCCACCCTTATACCAATGCTGTAATAATTGGGGATGTCTAAAATGATAGCCAAAAAACTGCCATGGCCTCGATTTAACTTTTCACGCAAACAAATCAAATAAATCTGTGTACTTCCTCCTAACCATAAAATTTCCGCATATGTATCATCCTACAATATCAATTTCAAGAACCATACATCATAATTCTCGACTGAATATACACATTTTTAATATTCCTAGCCGTCGTGGTGTGACTCTTGGTAAAAAAAGTATTGATGGAGACAGTTGGCCTGATTTCTCAAATTGATATACAACCGTTACACCGTTACAGTTTGGTTGGAATAGGTCAAAATGTCGGCATGGTGTGACTTTTGTACGTGTTGAAATGCACGTTCACATTGTCAGGATTACCATGACTGATGCAGTATGTGTTTAGCGTCCCTGGGTATGCACACGAACACGAACAAACGGATGACTCAACACATGACATTTTATCATTATGTCATGCTTCTACAGTGCCTGTGTGGGAGTTTATGACACTAATGATCAAAATCTGTGCTATGTATCATATCGTTATGTTAACGAAGGCGGTATAGCACGACTTCTTCACTTAATGAACCACAAGTAATAATATTAAAAAGTAGTATGTACCCAAGAGTTGTTTTTATAAGTCCATTCCTACCAGAACCAGTCAGTATCACCAGTAAAGATGTGTTTCCCTCAGAACTGGTCAGTATGACCAGTAAGATGTTCTGAGGAGTTGTTTAACTCGTACATGTACACAAACTCTATTTTCCCCATACAGACCCGGCCAGTATCACCAGCCTGACTGACACCATCACACTCATGTACATGTGTTTCCCCCATACAGACCCGGCCAGTATCACCAGCCTGACTGAGTCAGTGTCCGTTGCCCTGACTGATACCATCACGCTCCAGTGTTTCGCGGACGGAAACCCGGAACCCAACATCACCTGGACCAAGGAGGGAGCGCCGGTAGAGCGCATGCGTGAAATCCAGACTTTTAGTAAGGGACTTCGCGCAAGCGCCCTCGTGCTCAACTACGCTGAACGGAACGACAGCGGGAAGTACATCTGTACGGCCAGTAACGGGCTGGGCAAGCCGGACGTTCGGACACTCACGCTAAATGTGGAAGGTACGGGCTTCATTACATGTATGTTTACCGAAGGAAAACATATTGTTTTTGCTCAGTTCCTTCCTCTTCTTCTTCTCCAAAAAGTGACCTCTGACCTGACCAAAGGCATGATTTGTTGACGTCTGTCACCATGGTGACTGGAGTTGGGTTACATAATGTGTTGCAATTTCATGGTCTGCTCTAGATCTGCTCCTGTTACCATATTCTAGTAGTTACATGTCCGAAGGTAAATATTATGCATTTGCTTTGCAAATGTTACTTCTCTAGTATTAATATTTGAATAGTACAGAGAAATTTATACTCCTTATAGCCTTCGACAAGCCAACTCTAACGAATCACACAGCCTCCTATATTTCTACTATTACCAAGAAGCGAGAGGACCTCGAAAGCACTAGAGTATACCAGGAGTTTATATATGCACGTTTATATATATGAACATTGTCAACATGGAATTTTTTTAGCCCAGTGGGGCAAAAATGTACAATAAAGAGATTCATATTTTATAAGGCAATGTCATTCGAAGGTTTGCTTCAACAACGACATTGTGTCAAAGATGCTCTTATATCCACACTACAAAGTTTTGTGACGATAACAACAGAGAACGATATGGAATGACTTACGACGCGTATCATGCAGTAAATCTTGTGTTCACTGTACGAAGCCTTTGTATCTAACGATAAGGGGAGAAGTCATACTAAATAGCCATGTCCTTGCCTCGCTTACACTTTCAGTTAATGGATGGGGAACTAGTATTGAGATCACTAAGAAAGTTCAAATAGTTTAACACGTGTATCGTTAAACCCGTGTTCAGTGTAAGAAAAACATGCATCAAGCGATAATGATCTTGGTTGCCCCTTTTGGAGTGTAGAAGTTTCTTCATGTACTATGTATGGAGATCACAACCCCTCCTTGTTCCTTCATACATGTGCATGAGAAAGTTCAAATGATTTAAGACGTGGTCCCGTTCCTTCGCGGTGAGAAACATATATCAAACGATAAGGATCTAGTTCCGACCTTGTAGTACTAGTATGTACGTGCTCTGAACGTCTAAACCTGTCAAAAATCCGCTCGGAAACATGGCTTAGGTCGGTTGTATCTCCGGTGTTGCTTCATCATTAGCGTTAATTGTACTCGTATCATTAAAAGGCCTGTTTAATTTTCTTAACGATGACTCATTTGTAATGCCCATGCATTTATGGGACGAGCAACATAGCAGCAGATGTGGTGGGCCACAAGTTAAATTTCCCTACACGAGGATGATTTTGTTTTCCCCAATATGAGAAAGAACACTGAAATTTTAAAAATGGGTGCCCCTTTCCCCATTTGTGTATGTATACTTGAGCAAGTATACGAGAAAGTTCAAATGTTTACGATGTGTGTATTCCTTCTAGCCTGGTTACCTGGAGGAGAGGATGTAGAACCTAGGAGCTATAATAGGTCTGGTAACCAGGCTATATTCCTTCCGGATGTAAGAACGTGTACCAAACGATACCGATCTTGTTTTTTCCGCAAACGTAGGAGAGCGTGCCCTGAACAGCTACACGCAGATAGCGATCTTCGCCGGAGCTGCAGCCGGCGGTGCGTGGCTCATCGTCTGCATCATCCTCGTCATCGTCTACGTCAGGAGACGGAACCAGCAGAGGCTCAGGGACGACTTCGCCTACTACTACGCCGTCGGCCGCCGCCATTTTGAATACCTGACGAAAAAGGAGCTGCCGCCGATCCCGCCACACGCCGCCGCCGCCCAACAAGCCAAGAAGATGCCGAAAAACGCAGGTGTGTGGCGAGTCTTTCGTTCTTGAGCGACATTGGTTATTCTTATCCTCTACCAGGCTTCGGGTAGTGAGTGGAAAGAGTAGAAATCCGCCAAATAGACAGATGATATGCCACGCTAAGACAAACTTTTCTCTTCGCGCGGACCAACTCCCCTGGCATATCATCTATGTATTTATTCCTTCGATCATCCTCTCACGATACCTCTTATTTCTTAAGAAAAGATACTGGCCTCCAATGTTGGCTGTCCGAAGCCTTCATCAGGTTCCAATGACCAATCACCGAGGTCACGTGACATTGTACAGGCTGACTCTACTCTAACAGCCTCACACCGTCTGTGGTGGGCAGACAGAGGACGAGCTAATGTTAACTATGAAATAGCTCCTTCTGTTACAAGTCGGAGAATGCACGTATTTGTTGTACAGGTACAGGCTGATTCTAACTGCTTGCTTTGGTCTGTTCCAGTTGGCAGGTTAGCCCGCGTGGTGCACAAGTACGCGCCCCAGGCGGAGGACGAGCTCATGCTGGAGGTGGACGACGTGCTGGAGATCGTGAAGACGGACGAGGGAGGCTGGTGGGTCGGCTACCTCAAGGGCAAGCTGGGCCTCTTCCCCTTCAACTACGTGGACCTACTGCCTGAGAAAGGTACGCCCGCAACGTTAACATTTACCTTGGCGTACGACACTTGCTCTATGTGCACTTGGTATTGGTTAACCCAATGTCCTTGGTTAACCTTCTTCCTGCTGCGTAACCACATAATTCTTTAGCCAAACATATATACTATAGTGGGCTAAAGTTCCGCAGCCTGGTTATAGTTAGCTAGTTGCAGAGAGGACAAAAGAAACTCAGCAGATAAAAATGGTTTGGTAACCAGGCTACACGTTTTGTAAAGAGGTTATTGATACATGAACTAGTAGTCATGTTGTTCATAGTAATAAATTACCACTCCCCCCCCCTCCCCAGCCTCCATGGGGAACGGGAAGGCCAAGTCCCCGCTGAGAGCAGACCTGACGGACTCGGAGTACCAGGCGCTGGACCCGCCCCAGAAACAGGGACCAGACAGGGTAAGGGTAAGGCGCACTAGCAATTTCTTACTGTAGTTAGTATCATCGTGAACAAACAAGGACTAAGCTTGAGTGAGAGGTGGTCGGAAGGCATGCTAGCTGGTGAATAGAAGTACTCCACAGGTCTGGGGATGACTTGTACGTTTTTCTGTACAACTAAATGGGCAAAGTAGGCTTCAATGATCTTTTATGGTTCCGCTTTAACGTTATACCTATAGGAGCTTGGCACGTTGATGACATCACTGTACATCAGACAATATTCTATAACAAACATGTTTGGTCTCGGATAAAAGGATCTACTTTGGAAGCACAATTTAGCTGTCGGGTTGCGTGAAAACTCAGTATAATCTAAATGGCATATAACATGTTTGTTTTTTCCTGCAGGACAGCATATCACTGCCTGATCCTCTGACGGGAGACTCGTTCAGCAAGGCCACCACACTGGTCGCCGAGAAAAAGGAGAAGGACAACCCGAACCTTGTTGCATGCAGCGGCAACAGATGAAAGAAGCAAGAGTTATGAGTGGAGGGAAATTGTACAGAGACTACTATAATACTTATCCATACATACGCCGAGAATATGGTGTTTGTATACGTGACGTCAGAGCCGCCATACTGGCTGGTTAGACCTGGCAGAGTCAGATCCAGAGGATTGAATATGTTTAAAGGCATCTAATGCAATTTCATGACGGCAAAACTGGATTTTGTAGAAAGAAATGGATCAACCCTATCTCATAATGATATCTGTGAGGCAACAATACGGTGTTACTGACAGAAAACGGCTTCTTGTTCTGTATGGTAGGCTGATTTCATCTATTTATAGGTGGTACCCAAAAATAAAGAGACGCCTCCAGTGGCCCGTTTTGCGGCTATTTTAAACGCTTTGTATCCGAAATGATGCCGAAAATGTGCTAAGGAATGGCAGTAAATGTCAATATCAGACAGATTTCCTCATTTCTTTTGTTTTGCCTCCCTGTAATGTGACGTAATCACATAGACACATGGGAACCTGTAGGTTTAACCATCCAGTATGGCAGACAATACTTACGTCATGGTCACGTGAGTGCAAACGCCCTATAGGGGATGTTGTGGATTTCGTGACGTGATGTGTTTCCTTGTCCGACGACGGTGTGGCCATGGGTTCACTGTGCAGCTGAACTGTATCCTGCAGTGTTGGCGTGAACCGCAAGGGGTGTAAATAACTGGCGGAAGCCTCGATATATTGTATAAAGATGTTGTGGATGGAAAAAGTTCATGTCTAAGTGTAAAGCGTAGGTCTAGACTTTAAAGAATCCAAGGCTTCCAAGTCTTTAGAGCGGCGTTCTCAAAATGACATGGTTTGCAATGCTTTGTGTCGTTGAGAAAAGTTGATATTTGGTTAGCATGGCCATGGTGGCAAATGGACCTCTTGCAAAAAAGAAAACTACAAGACATTATGGCAGATCAATGTAGACTGCAGCTGACATGACAAAAGGACAATGGGCAAGCTGTATGGGGCTTTACTTTGGTAATCAGTGTCAGAAAAGCGCCATCTGACGGTGGCATTGTGTAAATGCACATCCCTCACTTAATTCTCTGTGAATGCCGTCTTGGATGGTTCGAAGTTGGATGTTACTAAAGTATACGATAGTTCAAATGTGCCTGTATGGTAGAACCTGTACATAGATATAGACGTACATATGATGTTTTGGGGTTGTGACTTTCTCGTACGCTGTGGATATAGGGTATGTCGTGCGGTTTGAACCACAGTAACCGTTAACACACACATGCCCTGTGGTGCCTAGTAAAGATCCACGAATAGCTAATCATCCATTTGTACACGTTATTGTAGGTAGAAGCGAAACAAATGTACAAATATGGGGGACAGTACCATCAACTGTAAAGTCTCCACAAATCTTATGGGGCTGAAACTATGTAGCGTTAGAAATTGACCAAATAGGGTGACTAATTTGCCATTGGGCCTGCTAACACCCCTAGACCTAAAGCATTCCATCTGTTTGGTCAATCTTTACTACCTGTTTCAGCCCCTAAAGAAGTATGGTGGACACTATAAAGTGGGGTGGATGTAAACATACCAATAGACAGGCATTAGTCTACAGTGTAGTTAGGTGATTTTGTACTATTTCTGTGTTTTCTCCGACAAGTAAAGGATATTACGTTTCTTTGAAAAAAAAGTGGACCAAAGTTTATTACATTGATGGCGTCGTTTTGTAATTTTCTATTGATTTTCACTCGATCTGGGGAGTCTTGATGGATGTAACGATTTGGGTAGAACATGGTGATACTTCTGACAGAAACATTGTCGTTTGTTTGTATTCATTCTTACTAGTACTAAGGTCGTGTGTTCCTGATCTATATTATGTGGTGCTTAACGCGACGATCTTTGACACATTCAGCATCTTTTTATGGAATGCTAATCGAACCAAAGACTATACCCAGGCTCGACAACTAATCAGATCTTTAAAGACATAATCAAATATAAAATGTGGGCATGTCATTTCATTCTATTATTTCATCTTTATTTCATGCACATTTGACCCCAATATAACACAGGCATGTGGCGCTATATCTAAATTTCCACAGAGTTTGGAACTTTGCGTTTCAAATTGCAAACAATGCAACAAGATGTATTTTAGCGGTTCAAAGGTATGTTTACCAAAAAAATATGACACAGAATTGCTTTTCTATCATAACAATGAATAAATAATTAAGCAAATACATGTATACAGATACAGCAAGCAATGAGAAAGCAGTTCCTATAGTTAAAACAAAACAACGAATGAATATAAATGAATGAAAGAACGAATGAATGAATAGCTTTTGGATGCTACATCTCCCCACAATGTTCTTTACCCTACATTAGATAATTTTCACATGCCAGAAAGGGTTTAAGACTCCTGTTGAGTCATCTTGCTCCGTTGTGTTACATGTCATTGCTACAATCTTATTGGCTACGAAAAGTCCGCTCGCTACAAACAGCACCCATACCGTCACGTCACCTATCATGGACAGATTATGCAGAGTCAGTGCCCATAGAAGGATGGGGATGTGCGAGGCGACCACCCAGCGAAATATACTACAGAAAATCAGTTCTACGGAGTACATGAAGATCACGCAGACTGCGAGCTGTGTTCGGTGGATTGAGACCACGGTGTCCAGCCCGACGTCGAAGTGCCGCACCAGGATGGTACTGACGGTGGAGGTGGTCTCGGCGTGGCTCCAGGTGAGGCTGAACCCCTCGCAGTTCTCGACCAGCAGCCGGTAGCACCAGCGGTGGGCTGTGGACATCTCCGCCATGTGGTTCTCGGCGATGTTCAGCGTCAGAAACAGACACGCACACAGGAAGAATGGCGGTAACATCTTGGCCACGCCGGCAGACAGGGGGAACCCGTAGAAATCTAGTATAGTGGAGGCGGCGTTACATATGATGCTCACGCTAAAACTGGTGATCACCGGACTCAATTCCCGGATATAGTCGTTCCAGGACGTTTTGTAGACCACCACGAGCCAGTAGATCTGAACGATGGCCTGCCACATGAACATGAAGGGGAGCAGCATAGGCAGGTATATGTAAGGGATGGTGGCGGTACTGTCTGTGTCTGGCGACATCTGAAAAACGTGAGCAAGCTTCGTCTTAGGTGTGTATTCTATTCACTGGATTCAATTAATACATTGACTGTAAATACATACTAGTATTGAGATATGATGATAATTCCTACATTGTGCTCACATCAAAGTACCTATAGACCACAAAGTGGGCCAAAGGTCGTACATGTACTACTAGGTAATATCACACAATACTACGTATTACCTGGAGACAGAGGTAGACATAGAACCTGTATTGAGCGATTATAGGCTAATTTTTTCTTATCATCCACAATCTGTGGGATGTAGATCGCCCTACAGGTCTCTATACATTTGTCTTCTGTTTCATTATGCAATGTACCTGTAGATATGATAGCAGCAATGGAGAGTTTTAAAATTCACCGGGTCGCCATATTTAATTACCTGGCAGTTAGTTTACTTGTCACATACAGACCGGCTATTTCATATGAATTAGCTTAGCCTACTCGTCAAGAAACCTGGTCAGAAATTTAGATGTTAACGGCTTTAACAAAGCTTACCCTAATTTATGTCCCTGAGCCTCTGTCAAATCCACATTCTTCTAGAAAACGACACGATATTCGCCAAGCTGAGACCGGCGACCCCTCCGGCACACAGCGTGACGTGGTCACTGTGGTGTCTGCAGAAGTTGTCTGACGAGTTGAGTGACGTGTAAGTGAAGGCTGTTGTGCTTGCGTCACAGGGCGGGCCTCATATAAGACAACCTCAAAACAAGAATTCGGAAACTTGATTATACCTCCTTGAAATATCTAGAGCTTTTGTAAATTTTGTTTTTCGTTCATTATGAATATTAGGTTGTACGTATTTAGCATGATAATCTATTCCAATTGATGACCGTCTCTAGGCAAATTACATAAACTGTATGTGTGAAAGTCCTGTCATTTGACAATATTCCATTTCTAACATGTCATCATCAATTATGCAAATGGCTTCCACATGGCCTTAATTTATGCATAGCGATATTCAGTTTTTTTACACGTCACAAGTATGAAATTCCCACCATTACCGCTAAGGAATTATGACATTTTCGTATGGATAGTGCAAATCAGACCCTTTATTAATTTGTTTTGAAAGTTTTAATCATAACCTGGTTACAAACAATCATACCACATGTTACACACAGGACTATTTCTACAGACCAAAAGCAAATAACACACGCGTTTACAAACATATAATCATGTAAGAAAAAGATGTGGTACTGGCTATACCAAGGAGGTTTAAAAAGAGAAACCTCCTTGGCTATACACTACACTAAATTCAGAAAGTATTACATCGAATAGTATACAAGCATGTTGGCTATGCTGAACATAGCTTATCATAGAATGCACAAACTATGTTATTCTACGCTATTCAATTTTGCAGTCTGGCTACAATCAAAATGGCTGATTACACACTATGTAAAAGAACATGAAAGCCACAATGAAGTCATCATCAGTCACCTTTTGTCGGTAGTATTTGAATTTTGAACTTATTCCAGCTGAATGTGTAACAAAATAGTCATGTATGTTCATGATAACACGTTCAGCACCAAGGACATTACCCTACTTGTCCTTATCCCTTATTTTGTCATCTTGAACTAAGGTGAAGCATGATGCTTTTTCAAGTAGCTACTAGTGCAATGTGGCTTTGTAATGGCTTGTGGATTTAGCCAAACACACCAGGTCACCCTATTCCTCTCGATAAGTGTGGTGGGTTCTTTTACATGTAAAGATTTTGACGCCATAAGCTCTCTCACACACTATGCATTAGACCACACAAATTTTATTTCTTCAGTTTTAGATTTACCTGATTCATTTCATTATGATTTGCACCAAACAATGTATCATTAAGGTTCAACCCCAGTCTAGTATGTTGACTTTGCGAGCCTTCTATGGCAGTGTTTGGGGCTACCACATGATGCCTAGCCCTGTTTATTTTGCCTCCTCACTTTATTGAATGTCTACAAAAATCTGAGTGCCAACGCATCAAACTGTTGAGGCCTTAGCATGTATTCAAGTGTTCTTGTTGACTTTGATGACGTTGACTCTGAAGGACCTCTCTGTCGATCAGTTCTCGTCTTGATTCAGCAGCTCCACTTTCAGACGAACGCCATTTTCCGGAGTTGGAAACTGGTTGCCCTTCTTCATCTTTAGAGGGATCTATGGAGGAACACCAAGGATGAAGTAATGTTACAGAAATGTTTGAGTCGAACGCCTGACCAACATTTCTAAGCTTTTCTAAGAAAACCTTTCTATGCTTTAGTCAACTTTAAGAAAAGGCAGGGCAACCATGTACATGTACATTGGAATGGTTTCTACTCAGTATATGATCGCTACAGAACATGAAGTACACTTACTTCTGGCAAGGTAAAAAAAAGTAGCAGTTTTGGTGCTGGAAAAATAGAAATTCGCAAGGAGGCTAAAAATTGTGCCCTACCCTCAAACCAAATATCATGACAATCCACATGCAACTTCTATCTATTATATTGAACAACGAGAACCACATATGGAAATAAAAACAACTTAAGACCCTGGTGAAACTACTAGAGTTCTCACATCAGTATCAGGCGCAGTTGTGATGTGGTACTCCATCAGGATCTTGGCCACTCCGACCTTCAGTTCCATCATCGCCAGCCTCATTCCGATGCAGGTCCTCGGCCCCGCCCCGAACGGGAGCCAGTCGTACGGATCCCGCTTCTCCCGCGCCTCTTTGGTGAACCTGCGTTTTAATACACCATTGGTCACTTCTCAAGCTATCAACATTTCTCTCATTTGTTGAGTTTGCAATGAACAATGAAGATAGAGGGATAGGGGGATAAGGGATGAGGGAATAGGGGATAAGGGGATAGGGGGATACATTTTAGAGGGATAGGGGATAGAGGGATAGGGGGATATAAGGAGATGGGGGTAGGGGGATAAAAGTCTTCTCTTATACAGGTTTGACTCTACTGGCGATTCTGGGCAGGAACATGCAAAAAAGACAATTGTAATCTAAAGTGGTCCACAATACCTTTCAGGGATGAACTTCATGGGTTCCGGCCAGCGTTCGGGATCGTAGTGGATAGCGAGGACTTGTACCATCACAAACATGTCCTTGGGAATGGTCAGCCACTGGATCTTGACCTCCTCATCGACAATCCGGCCAATACTGGAACATTACATTAGATGCAACAAGGTTCAATCGCCTGTCAGGCGATAAGGTTGCATATCCAGAGCAATGGGTAAGTAATCCTGAAGACCATACATCTAGATCTAGTGGAAGGTTTTGTTCATGAAGTTTCTCCCTAAGGCTAACATGACTGGACTTTATGAAGAAAATCTCCTGCATCCTGATTCACATGCGACTGGGTTACAACCATTGCAGTTTACACATAAGAAAATACACATAAGAAAATAGATAAGATGTAAAACAAAACCAACTCTGCTACAGGAGGGTACATGCGCAGGGTCTCCATACAACACATCTCCAAGTAGGACATCTCATGCACTGCCTCGTAGTCAACCAGGTCCTGCAGGGGGACAGAATTGTCACAAGTTTCTTTTTTATCCTGAACAAGTAGTCTAGCATTAATGCTATACAAATGTACTTCCAACACTGGTATTGTTAGATATCATTGCAGGTGAGTTTTCAAGGCCTGAAATACAAAAAAAAGTCAAATTCCTGGTTTCTCAAAACAACCACTTGCAATCAAACTATATTTGTACCTATCCTACCATGAAGTGGTTTATTGGTTGCTTCATTTTGTCTTGGTGTCTTTGGAATGAACCTCTGTCCTGACATACAGTGTATTTGTTAAGTTCACAGTGTGTAAGATCAGTGTTTTGGGGTTGTAATACAATGCCTAAAATGCTATTCAAGAAAGAACCATACCCTGTCTTCCATAATCTTTTTGATCTCTTTCCTGGCCTTCTTCTGCTCTTCTTGATTGAGTGCAAAGTTGTACAACACAAAGGCCATTGTACTCGCAGTTGTCTCATAACCAGCAACAAAGAAGAGGAATCCATTGGCAACAACGTCATCTCTGGTTAGAGCTGCAATTTTTCACAAGAATAGAAAAAAAACTTTTAAAACAAATTAAGATAAAGGGTAAAATTCAACTGTTTCAGCTCTTTGTGACTTTCTTAAATTGTATTGTATCCAAACAATGAAAAATAACTATTAGAAAAGTCAGAGCGAGTGTATGAGGAACAGACAATAAACCAGATTGTCAGTAAAAGACACTGAGTTTTGAAGGATTACCACGTTTCTGCCCGTGCGACTTGACGCCCTCCTCTGCTTCCTCTTCTGTATCCTTGTGAGCATCCATCATCAGTTGCATGAAGTCAACCCGTCCCTTCTAAAAAAAGTAACAGAAAAGCATAAACACAATCAGTATTAAGAAATATGTTTTGTAGTCAACTATTAAGTAATCTTGAACAGAAATAGAGTAATTCAAGGATAAGTGTCATGCATAATGACATATACACATACATACCTCATTGCTCTTCTGTCTAAGCGCAATCAGCTGATCAAAAATACCGTAGAAGAAGCGGGTGGCATCACTTGGAAAGAGATCCATGTTTAGCCACTCCAGGATCGGTTTCATGACGGAGGGGAAGACAACTACAGATCAGTAGGGAAGAAAAAAGCATAGTAGTAAAATACACAAGTTGATTGCATGATAGCATATATAATTGCATATCATGTGTAACCGGTGACATATATATGACATACATAGTACCTTAATATGAGGATGGACGCTTAAACAAAAGGTGTGAGCTTATCCTAATGTCATTCTATGCATCTAAATGTGTTAGTATACTTAGAATCCAACCCTTAGGCCTGTATAATATTACTACATGACATATAACCTGGAAATGCTTCCAGCAAGTATTTCAGAATAATTTGTTAACAAAAAGACGTGAATTTGGAGAGGCATAAAATTCCACTCACAGTACAAAAGAACCAATGGGTTCTTGATGCTGACATTAAAAGCCTTCTTGCCCATCAGAACAAAGGGGTCCTGTGGGTTGCGTTGGGAGTCGATCTCGGTACCGAAGGCAGTCCTGGCGATGACGTCCATAGTAAAGGCACCTGTCAGTCTGAAATCAAGATGAGCATTCTGTCAGGCAAATAGATTTGTCGGCTTTGGGATTAAGATGAAAAATGTCATGAAAACTGAGTGAAAAACTTTGATGTAATTATTATCAACTCTTATAATTCTGCCAAGTATTTAAACCTAGGACTGTCACAATGGTAAATAAAAAGTGATCTACTGCTAATGAAGCATCAGTTACCCCAGAGATACACGTATACACACAAATATCCAGGTACTCAACATATTCTTGAAAACCATACCTGCCCTGTTTTGATTTCATTGTAACTTGTCATACTGTACCGAAATGGCACCATATACAGTACAGGCATAGGTTAAATGCGGTAAAAATGGTGTTATATACGGTGACAAGTGCAGATTGTGTAACAAAAGGTTAGACCTGACCCATTATTCCAAGCGCGCGCTTCAATTTAGACAGAACATGAATGACATGAAAATCCCATTTTGCAGCATTTTTTACAACATTTATTCAATTTATTGCCTCTTAGATGTATGAAATCCGAGCTTGCATATCACTGTGTGCATTTGAACACACAGTTTTAGGGTTAAACGCACAAGCTACTGTGTGGTAGTCAGATTCAAGTTTTCCTCTCAGTCCCGTTTTAGTCTTGTCCTCTAACTCATTTCCTACTTCCTACCAACACTCACTCCCTGGTGTCAAAGGACTCTCCTGTTTCTGCAAACTTCGCAATGTTCTGCACAAGCTGGTCAGCACAGGTGTTTATCGCTGGTCCCATCTGTTCAAAAGAAAAGATTCTATGAGCTCTAGGTGTCTTGGACCTAGCTAGCCTGGAATGGAACCCAGGAAAATTTTGACCAGATTTAGTTTGTGTAAAACTATGTTTGTTTGCCATGCAAGGTAATTTCTAATGTATTAAAGCTATGTAACAACATTTTTCTTTAAGTAAGGAGGCTAAAGGCTGTCTTACTATAAGTTTGGCTGTGGAAAAACTAAACTCAGCCTTCTTTTGTGGTTGACTGCTGGTGAGGGCAGAGGGATATGAAATTTTCTATTTGTCATCTGAGTGATGAATACAGTGTCTTCAGTTGTACAGTCACTGTGTTAAATTGAATTTGTTGGATTATTTTGTCCAAAATCTCAAAAAAAAGAAATAAAAATCCCAAATTTTTGCAGGACTGTAATCAGAAACACACGATCAACTTTCCTTGGCCTTACATACATGTACATACCATCTTCAGTTTGCCCCCGCTGAAAGCTGGCCTTAAGGTGCTGCGCACTTCCTTCCAGTCTTCGTCCCTTAGATTGGTCAGCATCCTGCCGCTGGGTCTTGTATCCAGCAACATTTCTTTGCCCTGGTTTGGAAACAAACAACAAGACAACAACAACAACTTCATACATCCAAGAGATATGAATAGCTTTTGTAAATTTATTTCTGCCTGTCTCATTAATTGCGTTGGAATATGGTTGTGTAACCAATATTTTATACGTTATGACTAAATAAGGCACAGTGTTTTTAATGATGTCATGAAGAAAGTTCTGAATAAATGAATGTAAACAAAATCTTATTGTGATGATAACCTTATGGTAGAGGCAGAATCAAGCACAGAAAGGACTTCAGTGCATCAAAAACTGGCAACAACTGTTATAGTATCTTAGGCTTTTAACAAAGGTAAGATCAATAAATTCAATTTATGGATGAAAAGCAGTTCCATTGGTACCAACTGTCTAACCAAAAACAACAGCAAGAGGCTTCTACTCACAGTGCGGTTGGTGAGAGCATGGAATTTTTTCACAAATATCTCTCTGAGCATCTCTCGGTCGGATACGATGAGGATTGGCATACGCCCAAAGAAGAACCTTAAGGCATTAAGAGACAAGGTTATCAGCACAGTTTGCACAAACATGTTACAAGAAATCAAAGTTTCCTCTTTACTGATTGTAGAAAAAATCATGACAATCCTTTATTTTATAACCTTATGTTATCCTATTCACAAATACACAGCCAAAATTTGGTGAAAAGGTATTCTATACTTACCCATACACTTTACCATATTTTTCCACTCGTTGTCTGTTCACTTCTATATTCCAGATTCCCTGCAGATGAACAAAGTATATTGATTGTTAGCTATTGGTTTATACATCTTCAAATAAGAATTTCCAGAATTACAAAACGCATAAATTGTTTGAGAGAAAGAACTAACGTCTTTAAACCATGACAGCAAGTTCCCGAAAAAGGGTAGAGGGGTGGGTCCAGGGATACCCATCCTCTTGAAGGTCCATAAGGGATGCACTGCATACCTGCAAGGAATATGTATTAAATTCTGTTCTTGTCCTAATTTGCAAAATGTAATTATGACAACTGAGGAAATTCCAGTAGAGGCCATGCAAGCCTACATCCCAAGTGCAGTAAATTATGTTTTTGACAGTAGTCCTTGGTGCCCACAAAGCAGGGTAGCCTGGCATGGTAGCCTGGCAAGCTGGACTGACCCACTTTTTCCAGAAACCCCGCATCTGTAATGATAGAACCCAGCTGATAATTATGCACATGAATCATACAGTACTTACAGGTAAAAGAGAACTGCCAGCAGCGCCAGAAGGATCCATGTCATGGGAACATCGCTGGGAAGGAAGTCCTGTAGAGCCATGGTGCTATCAACAGGTCGTTACTAGTCAGGACATAGACACAGAAATGTTACAGGTTTAGACGTCAACTCACCCACAGAGGGATAACTATACCAAAACTTTGACTTGAAAAATGTGCCGTGACGCTTGCTGAGCTACAGTCGTACAGGTTGAAGGTTCCACTTGCAAGATCCAGAACTATGGCTCGTCTGTTCACTGTATGAAAATATTTAGTCATGATATATGATGACTAAGCACTCAATTTATGTACCTGAGCGGATGGTCAGAAGCAAGTCGGTCAAAGTTAATACATCACGATGGATGCGACTAGACCTGTTCTGTGACGGAGGCCTCACTCAACCGTATGTAGACAAGGTATGCAAGTCTTCGCTTCAGCCAGCTTAAAATAGCTTGATGTGTGCTTCTTACCCTGAGACGCCTCCTTAAAAAAACATTGTCACCCGTTGTTGTTCTTCCGGGTCAGCCCTATACCTCAGAACTTGCAATTCAAAAGCAAATATACAAAAGAAACGCCCTCCTTTCTCAGCACTGGAACACCAGAGCTGAAGTGATACTCAGCACTTGTACACCTGGAGGTCGAAAAAAACCTGCTTAATCCTACCTCTCAGCACTGAGACATTCCTGTGCTGGGGAAGACGTCAGCACTGGTTTGAGGAGCGTTCCAGTGCTGAAGGGACGTCATCACTGGAATTCCAGTGCTGACCAAATGTCGACCGCTGATTCAGCACTGGTGTTCCAGTGCGGAGGGCGTTACTTTTGTATATTTGTAATTCAAAAGAAGTTCGACAGGTTTGGGAAAGTTATTGTCGGATTTGACAAATGCTATTTCCTTATGCGATATATTGGTGTGTTACAGTGAGATTGTGTCATCGACACAGGAAACGTCACGGACATTTGGCCAAAGAATTCCCCAGAAGTTAAATTGCAGTCTTGCTGTGAACACAGTGGGCTGCAGTTACTTTGCATTCTTATGTGCGTACGCTGTTACTAATACTAGTAATCAGGCCCTAATTTGCTTTCAAAGTTTTAATCATAACCTGATTACAAACAAATGTACCACATGTTACACACAGATCTATTTGTACAGACCAAAATCAAATAACACACGTTTACAAACATTTAACCAAGTAAGAAAAAGATGTGGAGAAAAAAATTAAGCATTTAGATTGCTTGACCTTATTTTACATTGTTTACATTGTGTACTGATGTAAGTCAACACCCAAGTGTATGAATGTATCAAATGTTCTCTTCAGCTTACTAACTTTACCAACATTAATAGTACAGTAATACTCTAAATACTCCTTTTGGTTTCCATTCAAGCAGGTTTCTAATGTTGGTCTCTATATATATCCAACCACCTTGAGATAAGCATACAAGAAATATAACTGATGTCAAAAATTGAACTATCATGTTGATGCTACAAGCATGCACAAACTTATGTCAGCAATTGATGCCACCTGTCAAATGAAGTGAGTTATGAAGAAGGTTATTGATTTTTTTACACAGGAATATTGATGGGGGGGGGGGTACATGGAGTGGTACTGGCTTTACAATACTAACACTAAATTCAGAAAGTATTACATTGAATACAAGCAGTACTAAATACTTAATTCAGGCACCAGTTAAGATTTACATATATATATACAATGCACAGACTACATTCTTCTATGTTCTTTATTTTAGCAGTCTTGCTATAATCAAAATGGCTGATTACTACACACTATGTAAAAGAACATGAATGCTGAAATGTAATCACTATCAGTCACCTTAGTATTTGAATTTTGAATAATCAACTTATTCCATCTGAATGTGTAAAAATAGTCATGATAACATTCATGTTCATGATAACACGTTCAGCACCAAGGACATTACCCCACTTGTCCTTATCCCTTATTTTGTCATCTTGAACTAAGGTGAAGCATGATACTTTTTCAAGTAGCTACTAGTGCGATGTGGCTTTGTTATGGCTTCTACATTCAGCCAAACACACCAGGTCACATTATTCTTCTCGATAAGTGTGGTGGGTTCTCTTTAACATGTAAAGATTTTGACACCATAAGCTCTCTCATACACTATGCATTAGACCACACAAATCTAATTTCTTCAGTTTTAGATTTACCTGATTTATTTCTTATGATTTGCACAAAAAATGTATCATCAAGGTTTAACCCCAGTCTAGTATGTTGACTTTGTGAGCCTTCTATGGTAGTGTTTGGGGCTATCACATGATGCCTAGCCCTGTTTATTTTGCCCCCTCACATCATTGTATTTCTACAAAAATCTGAGTGCCAACAAATCAACCTGTTGTAGCCTTAGCATGTATTCAACTGTTCTTGTTGACTTTGATGACGTTGACTCTGAAGGACCTCTCTGTCGATCAGTTCTCGTCTTGGTTCAGCAGCTCAACTTTCAGACGAACGCCATTTTCTGGAGTTGGAAACTGGTTGCCTTTCTTCATCTTTAGAGGGATCTATGAAGGAACACCAAGGATGAAGTACTGTCACAGAAATGTTTGGGTCAAACGCCTGAGCAACATTTCTAAGCTTTTCTAAGAAAACCTTTCTATGCTTTAGTCAACTTTAAGAAAGGGGCAACCATCTGTACACATTGGAATGGTTTCTACTCAGTATATGATTCAAACACTACAGAACATGAAGTACACTTAATTCTGGCAAGGTAAAAAAACAGCAGTTGTACTAGTACTGGAAAAGTGTAAAGTTGCTAGGAGGCTCAAATTGTCCCCTACCCTCAAAATATCCCAAATATCATCGACAATCCACATGCAACTTCTATCTATTATATTGAACAACCAGAACCACATACAAAACTAAAAATAACTAAGACACTGGTGAATAAGTAGAGGTCTATCCTCACATCAGTATCAGGCGCAGTCATGATGCGGTACTCCATCAGGATCTTGGCCACTCCGACTTTCAGTTCCATCATCGCCAGCCTCATTCCGATGCAGTTCCTTGGCCCCGCCCCGAACGGGAGCCAGTCGTAGGGATCCCGCTTCTCCCGTGCCTCTTTGGTGAACCTGCATTTATACACCATTGGTCACTTCTCAAGCTATCAACATTTCTCTCATTTGTTGAGTTTGGAATGAAAAATGAGGATAGAGGGATAGGGGATGGAGAGATAGGGGATGGGGGATAGAGGGATAGGGGGTAGAGGGATAGGGTCATAGGGGGATAGAGGATAGGGGGATACATTTGTAGAGGGATAGGGGGATGGGGATAGGGGCATAGGGAGATAGAGGGATAGGGGGACAGAGGGATAGGTGGATAGAGGGATAGGTGGATAGAGGGATAGGTAGATAGAGGGATAGGTAGATAGAGGGATATAGGTGGATAGGGAGACAGAAGTGTTTTCTTATACAGGTTTGACACTACTGGTACTGAATTTAGCCATTCTGGGCAGGAATTTGCAATAAAGACCATTGTCATCTAAAATTGTCCACAGTACCTTTCAGGGATGAAGTTCTTGGGTTCCGGCCAGCGTCCGGGATCGTAGTGGATAGCGAGGACGGGCACCATCACAAACATGTCCTTGGGAATGGTCAGCCACTGAACTTTGACCTCTTCATTGACCATCCGGCCAATACTAGAACAATAGATGTAACAAGGTTCAATCCCCTGTCAGGCCATAAGGTCGTATACCTGCAGTAATCGGGTAAGTAATCCTGAAGACCATACATCTAGATCTAGTGGAAAGTTTAGTTTAGTCTGTTTAGGCCAACATGACTGGATGTTATGTACAAAATCCCCTGGATCCTGATTCACATGCTACAGGGTGGGGTTACAACTTACAACAACTGCAGTTTATGATGTATGCATAAGACGATAAATATAATAAAAAAAAAAAACCAACTCTGATACAGGAGGGTACATGCGCAGGGTCTCCATACAACACATCTCCAAGTAAGACATCTCATGCACTGCCTCATAGTCAACCAGCTCCTGCAGTGGGACAGAAGTATCACATGTTTCTTTTTATAACATAACTATATAACAAGTACCTAGCCTAGCATTAAAGATAACTACATTAACTATACTTCCAATACAGGTATCGATAGATATCATTGCAGTTGAGTTCTAGGCCTGAAATATGCACCATAAAACACAAAAAGAATCAAATTCCTGGTTTCCCAAAACAACCACCTGTAATCAAACTATATTTGTACCTATCCTACCATGAAAAGTTAGTAACTAGATCATATCGGTCGCTTCATTTTGTCTTGGTTTGTTTGGAATGAACTTAATCATTTCTGTCCTGACATACAGTGTACTTGTTAAGTTCACAGCGTGTAAGGTTAGTGTTTTTGGGTTGTAACACATTGTTTTCATTAAGCCTAAGATTCTATTCTATGAAGAGTCATACCCTGTCTTGCATAATATTTTTGATCTCTTCCCTGGCCTTCTCCTGTTCTTCTTGATTGAGTGCAAAGTTGTACAACACAAAGGCCATTGTGGTCGCAGTTGTCTCATAGCCAGCAACAAAGAACAGGAAGCCATTGGCAACAATGTCGTCCCTGGTTAGAGCTACAATTTTTCACAACAACAATAGAAAAAACAAACTTTAAGACAAATTAAGATGAAGGGTAAAATTCAGCACCTTCACTGTTTCAGCTCTTTGTGACTTTCTTAAATTGTACAATGTATCCAAACAATGAAAAATAACTATTAGAAAAGTCAGGGTTTAAGAGGAATAGACAATAAACCTGGTAGTCAGTAAAAGAGTCTGAGTTTTGAAGGATTACCACGCTTCTGCCCATGCGACTTGACGCCCTCCTCTGCTTCCTCATCTGTATCCTTGTGAGCATCCATCATCAGTTGCATGAAGTCAACCCGTCCCTTCTGAAAAAAAAGAAAATATAATAAATAGAAAAACAAATAAACAAAAACACAAGTGTACTACACATGAAATAATGTTACCCCAAAATGGCACAAGCCTGAGTTAAGGGCAGGGGCTTCAAGAAAGAATTCATGCCCTGAGATGATGATGACTGGCATTGTTGCCTAATTTCAAACTTTTAATAATGTTTTGTTTAAGAACACGCATGATAATGTACAAAATGACTAATAAACTGGTGGACGTCCCAATTACTAAGTACCTAATACAAGCCCAGAAGAGAACAAGAAATAGCCATGCCTTCAAGTACCAGAGTTATCAACCGAGGATTGAGGCGTTCAAGAATTCATTCTTTCCTAGAACTATCGCTGAGTGGAACTCACTTTAAACAAAGTGTAGAGTTAGATGTTCAAGGGTTACATGTAGGTGTAACAAGTCAATAGGTGTAATGTAGCCAGCTGCCGCCGCGCCGCTTGCCTGCAAAGCTGGTGTGTTATGCCGAAAGGCAGTTATACTGGCTATACAGATACAGATACAGATGACTGAACACACGTGCACACATGTGATATACATGTACACATGTACACATACC